CCCCCCCACCCTTGCTGTTTCCTCCCAAACCCACCCTCTCCTTGCCGCATTCAGAGTCCGTCCACCATTCCCACACCTTTCCTCTTCAACTGGAAAGAACGCTGGAACTGTCTTCTCTCAGCTGTAAACTCCCAGGAGTGAAAACATTGATTTTCGTCTACGGCACTTCTATAGATCGTGTTGTAGAGTCAGTCTATACCTGTTCTACAGCTGCCCCCCCCCTCCCGGTATTAATCTACCGGTTAAACAAGCTGTTGGACAGAAACACCAGAATTACGTTACTCCCTTCAAAACCGCCAGTGCTTTTGACATTGCCTTTCCCACGTAGTTCTTGGGAGAGGGAAGGTGGAAAAGGGATAGGGGTGGAATTGGAGTGGAAAGGGGGGAAAGCAATGGTAAAGGAAACAAACGTCACGGTTTCTTTCGCCCAACATTTCCGTTTGGGACATTGACAACCCAACAGTGTGGGTCAGCGAGGTTCATGAAACTGGAATTAATTTGCATAGGTGGGAAAGGGAAAAGGGGCGGGGGTACAAAGTTAGGCTCACAGAAAGATAGAAAGAAGTAAGGCCAGGAAAGAAGATAGGCAAAGAATGAAACCTAAAGTGACTTTATAAATATAAACTACTGTTGGTAGGGGGAAAGAGAGAGAGAGAGAGAGAGAGAGAGAGAGAGAGAGAGAGAGAGAGAGAGAGAGAAAGAAAGAAACAGAGAGGGAGGGAGAGAGAGAATGTTATATCATATATACACATCTGTGTTTGTGAGTGTGTGTGTATGTGCGTTTGTATATATTACATACACATTTGCGTCTTAATATATGTCTTAATATGTCTTACTGTGTGTGTGTGTGTGTGTGTGTGTGTGTGTGTGTGTGTGTGTGTGCGTGAGTGTGTGTGTGTGTGTGTCCATCCATGCTGCATTTTTTTGCTAACCCTCTTTGGTTCTATTTGGTCTCCTTTTTCCTCTTCACAAAATGTGGAAAAGGGTGGGGAGGGTTGAATGGTTACCCGTTACATTCTGCCACATTAACATATATTATATTCAGTCTTGTTAAGGTAATTAATGCCATATAAATTGTATCAGAGTTCTGTACCTCACTGTGCCCACACTGCGCAGTTAAAAAGTGGCACGATTTCATAGCTTTGCACCCC